TGTAGCATTTAGTTATCATAACTAAACTATCAACTTAGTTTGGAAAAATAATGATGTTGATGCTCCATTTTCTATTCATTAGTTATATATAACCCCCAGAAAAATGCACTTTCTATGAAACCATGTGTACGACTATGCCTGGTTTCTTATAAAAAATCTGCTGCTATACATCCTAGCTTCATCTTAAAGGGAACCTGGATATTTCATATGTTTGCTGAATCCCATACTTGACAAATACATTTTTGTGAAGTGTGCAACATTAAACGTGGACACTCACACATCTCTATCTTGCAACTGGGTACCTCCATCTTAGCTTCGTGCCAATCGTTCTTATAGGCTCCATCCATTGAACATGGCACTTAGCACAGAGCAGAAATTTAATTTATTTTATATTTCTCCACTTCATTTACAGTGTTTGCCCTGGCTCTGCCTTGTCTGAACGGCAATATGTATTTGCTGAATCTTTAATATAAAGTTTAAACAAAATGGAACTCCTTCAGTGACATGAGAGAACATGAGAATTACATTACCTGTTGGTCACCAATAATAATATTTAATTGACCTCCAACACCATTTCATGGTGGGGAATTAGGATAGTAACCAGCAGTTGTACAAAGAACCACAATAAATGAATGTTAGCATAAAAAATAGAGCACAGAGCATAAAAAACCCCTAGGTACATAGGAAACTAAGGAAATCCACACACACACCTTCTTGCATGTACTATATGAAATGTCTTACTAATAAATGATTGTAGTGTTGATACATCAAAGGTATGTTTATTAATTTCTGAAAGCTTTTGTATGTTTCACTGCGTTGAGATTAAACTTGGGATCTACATCTCTTTTTTATATTATTATTTTAGATTCTACTGCATTGGCATGCCTTTAGACTCTGAAATGTTTCTTTTCTGCTTTGAACTACCAAGGACTGCACTTAGCCTGAAAGTTTCACCAGTTTTGGTAATGATTTTATACTTGGCTTACAAAATAAGAAATCAAAGCACCGATAAACAAGACCCCAGGGCACTATCTGTCGATGTAATCATTGCTACTCTTGACTTCTCTTGAAACAACTGAAAAACTGTTTTGTACCCATTGGGTAATAAAAAGAGGGACCAATGTCTGGAAAAATATTAATTTGCTCATTTGATTAACTCTAGATTCCTCCTGACAGTGTAGTTAAAAATAACTGCAGGCAAAATTTATTACACAACAAAAACATGAATTTATCTTGGCTGAAAAAGGTCTTTTAGAAGAACAAACTTGTATATAACCCTTGAATAAAGTATCCAAAAAATTTAATTGCAATTATTAAAGGCCCTCAAAGTGACACTAAGAGTTATATTTTTAACACAGCCTATATCAGTACCTCTATTATTTGATCATATTTAGCAAACGAAAGCAGAATAGGGAGTGTTCTTGTGTACCACATAAAAATAATACAAAATCACAAACCATCCGTAACTTAAAGGGACACTAAAGTCACCAGAACCACTGCAACTTAATATAGTGGTTCTGGTGTCTATAGATGGCTGTGCAGTCTTAGCACTGTAATCACTGACTTTTCAGAAAAAAAAAAAAAAAAACATATTTACATTGCTGCCTAGTAACACCTCTAGTGGCAGTCACTCAGACGGCCACTAGAGATGCTTCCTAGTTCAGTCATTCACTGTGTGCAGCACTTGCATTCATCATCTCCACACTGTGAAAGGAGATGCTGAACATTCCCCGTAGAGATGTATTGATTCAATGCATCTTTATAAGGAGATGCTGATTGGTGCAGCACAGCATTTTGCCGTGCATGCGCAATAGCCTCCCAATGCTTTCGTTTGGGAAAGCATTGGATTGGCTAGGGTCATCAAGATGATAACCTCAGCCATAGAGGCAGTGGCAGCTGCAACGAGACTGGCATGGCAGCTGATAAAAGGTAAGTAAGCTACCTTTTAATGCCACTATGGGGGGGGGGGGGCAGGGGCAGACACCTAACTAGGTAGTACAGCATTATAGTGTAAGGAATACATATTTATATTCCTAACACTGTAGTGCTCCTTTAACAATTTCTAGACAAGATTTATCTAGTAATATGGAATAAAAAGCAGAAAAAATAGTTTATCATCCAAAACAGGCTTCCCCAAACTCTGGCCCTCCAGATGTTGCTGAACTACAACTCCCATGATTCTATGAATGAAATAGATAGGCTGAGAATCATGGGAGTTGTAGTTCAGCAACATCTGGAGGGCCGGAGTTTGGGGAAGCCTGATCCAAAACATAAATGTGTCATGAATGTAGGTTTTGTGAAATCCTTGCTGTAAAGTCCTCCGAATTGGCTTAAAATGTATTACATGTGTTTAGAAAGCTGTCTGACTGGCTAAGTTTGACTGTGATTTTTTTTAGTTGAGGTTACTGCTAAGAATCTTGTCAATGGAAAGGTTCATGAGTTACATTTCGGCTTTAAACTGACTAAGCATCTTGGGAAATTTAATTCAATAAGACCTGCAGCACTATTAATATTTTATTAGCATTATATAGCACTAACCTATTTTGCAGTGCTTTACAGTTTTACACTGGGTGATTTACAACAGGTGAAGAGGGCTCTGCTCAAACAAATTTACAATCTATATTGCTCCATCCATGCCATAGTCAGTGTAAGTGGATATGTTGTTAATGAACTTGAAAACACATAACCCTATTGTGTTATGTACAGAGAGTCTGCGATATTTAGAGTGAAGTTTTTATACAAAAATAGATTACAGGAAATTGAATGCAGTCTTTGTTATTGTATCTTCTATGACTATTGGTTTCCTTATTTAAGTCGCTTATTCATATTGTTTGAGATTTTATTCAGTTCGGTTTGGCATTTTGAAATTTGGGACTTCGACACTTC